AAAACAAAAGGTTCCTACTTTGCCATGTTTAAATTTACCTCATCCCAATGCCAATATCATAGTTGAAACCGATGCTAGTGATATTGTATTCGGAGGAATTCTAAAACAAAAATTTGTTAATTCAAAAGAAGAACAATTGGTTCGATATTACTCTGGTGCATGGAATGATACACAAAAAAATTATTCAACTGTCAAAAAAGAAATTTTAAGCATTGTTTTATGTATTAAAAAATTTGAAGATGATTTATTTATGAAAAGTTTTTTATTAAGAATAGATTGTCAATCTGCAAAAACTATTTTAGAAAAGGATGTGAAAAATATTATTTCCAAACAAATTTTTGCTCGATGGCAAGCCCTTTTAGGTAACTTTGATTTCGAAATAGAATTCATAAAAGGCGAAAATAATTCGCTTCCTGACTTTCTTTCTCGAGAATTTTTGCAGGGAAAATGAGTTCATCGTCCTCTTCCAAACATGATGACAAGAAACCCGTCTATCAAAAGTTTGTTCCATTTCAAAATCAAAATCGTTTTTCTCCTTTAACCCCTACTTCTAAGAATTCACAACTTTATTCTAATATCCTTCAATCAAAACTTGTTACTCCAAAAGTTACTTCAACAAACACGATAAGCCCTTTTGTAAGACCTTTTACTCCTCAAACTCAAAATTCTGTGACTCCTAGCCCTCCTACAAAAACTCCTTATGTTCTTAATCCAAATTTCTTAAGAATTCAAATTCTTGAAGATTTTCAAATCCATAAGTTACATCAAGGTTTTCATATTCTCACAAATCATCTTTTTTGGTCAAGGGAAAACCTTTTATGTTGATTCATATAAAACTCGAGAATATTATCAAACTATTTTGCAAGAATCTGGTTCGGTCAATTTTGTTCATCGTTCTAATTCAAAAGAAGGAAACATTGATTTTAGCAAAGCTCACATCATCAAAATCATTTCTCCAGAAAGTTGGGTTCCAAACCTTCATTCTGAAAAACCTCTTATAAGTTATCCTGCTTATCCCAGATTTTCTTACTATGATTATCAAGATGCCTGGACTAAGGCGTTCTTTATTCGAAATTATTCACACTCATGGTTTATCTTCTTTGATTTAAACTTCAATTGTGAATACCCAAGATGGTTTATCAATTGGTACAAATATATGGGAATTCTTCCAAATTGTTTACCAAAAGAAATTTACGATGGATATCTCAAATTTAAGGAATTGTTTATTCAACAAATTCCAGAATTTGAATATATGCTACAATTCACTATGATATTCAGAGTTCCATGGATAATGTCTTGGACTTTTCATTATCAAGAAGCAAAGGATACCTATCCTCCCTGGCTTAATAGACAATTTCGCTCAAAATGGTGGGATAAAATGAAGATTTCTCAAGCCAGTGAACAAGCAGTAATTAAATATTATCAAGAAATATACATTCAAAAACCGGAGGTTGAAGCCACTTTTATCAAAAGTGTTCCTCAAAGTGATGTGGATTTAATTTCAAGAATTAAAGATGCTGCTACCTCTTCTCCTGAAGAACTTCAAAACTTACTTCAAGAAATTCGCCAAACTCCATCAGTTTCTGACGATTCTCCAAAATCTATAAAGAATGATTTATTTCAAGACGCTCAAGACCCTTTTGATGATCCTTATGAAGAATAAGAAATTCTTAAATTTGGTGTAATACCTTCAATGTAGGGTATTTCGTTTCTTCTATTTATCAAATCCATTATTTTCAAATACGAGTGCGTATATACTGTGTAATTATACACTATATGTATTTATAGTGTATATAAAACAAATATTATCAAATTTATTATCAAAATTATTTAGTCTTATCAGCAATAATAATATGAAGACAAAAAACTTTACAAGATGCTCCATAATGGATAATATGAAGACAAAAAACTTTAGAAGATGCTATATGATGATATGCTTTATCAAAAGGTGATATTTACTGATTACAAAAGACAATTTCTTCAAAAGATGAAAGTGACAACCACTTACAAACAATTGATTAGCCATTGAATCATAAGGCAAGATTTCACTACAAGATTTCAAGGTTTTGAAGACTTCAAGACAATATAAATAGACATCATGTGTTAGTAGAACAAAGCAAGCAAAAATATTCATTTTCTAAAAAATATTCATCCTATGTCTAAAAAATCTCCAAGAGTCTCTCTTTCTACTAGCAGATGTTCAAAGTCTCTAGATTTTCAGATAATTCTTTCTCCAGATGTATGTACTGATTGTAATTCAAGCTTAGTTCAAGAAGGTATTATCTAAAATATTTATTCAATTGTTGTATTGCTTTTATTTCATCATGATAGTTTCATTTCGAGTTGTTCTAACTATTAATTGTACAAGATTTGAAATTTTTGTTAAAATAGTACTCGTTTTTAATAATCAAATTAATCAAATTCATGCTTGAATTATTTAATTATGTCTAACAAAATCTTGATGAATTGTACTCCTAATAGAGATATTCTTTTAAAAATACAAAAAATTCAAGAATCTATAAATAATTCTGAGCAAAATCTCAATGATTCTTACAAACCTAATAATCTAGGTACGATTTTAAACAATAATCATATTCATGATGTTAGACAATTCATAAGAGCTAGTATTAAATTTCGTTACAAGCAAATACGTTATCTAAAAACAAAACTATTTGTTTTCTAAAATGATATTTATGTCTTCTAAAAACAAAACTATTTGTTTTCTAAAATGATATTTATGTCTTCTAAATGCTTATGATCAAATAAATGGTATATATATATATATATATATATATATATATATATATATATATATATATATATTAGTTGTGAGACTCATATATTATATGAGTTAATTTAAAAAAAAAAGTTAAATATAAAAATATTTGAGAACTTGGAATTTATAAGAAAATAAAAAAAATAATGAATTATTAAAATTAAAATATTTCTTTATCTTTTAAATTTAATTAAATAAACAAAAGAAATTAATGAGTTTTAGTTTGAGAATTTTAAAATTAAAATATAAGTCATCCAATGAAAGTTATAAATAAGAATACCTATAAAATGATATGTGAAAAAAAATTAATTCAAAATAATCATAAAATGACATTTGAGAAATTAAATGAGTGACATGTCACAAAAACATCTTCATTTATTAGACTTAGGCCCCGTTTGATACGCATCTTTCCAGGTTCAAACAGATCTTTCTGGCTGAATGGACCGGAAAGACTGTTTGATTTGCACAAAAGAAGGGGTCTTTCCCGGTAAGACTGTGCACTTACTCTATACACTTTTCATCTCTTCTAATACAAGATAATCCATCAACAAGAACCACAACGTTACCTTTACAAAAAGACAACTGATAAACATATTACATCGTTAAACAACTCTTTTGCTTAATAATATGATGTAGGAGTGGCTGCTGCATGGTCATCTTCATCGTCATCATCCTATCATACAAATATCTTTCAATTTGAGCACTTTACATATTCAACTACCGTGTCATATGTTTCCATGTTGAATGAGCTTTCTGCAAAACATCTGTACACAAAAAATAACTTAGCTATATGAATGAGATTATTATTTAACATTCAATGAATAATAATATATATCTAATGACAACTATAAACACCATACCTGAGTTCATGCCAGAATGTACTCGTTTTTTCCAATAGAAAAGGCTGCAAAGGCTGAAGATGGTTGTTCTGCAATTTTTCAAGGGTTGAGATAAAGAGTGATGTCACCACATGAACGAGCATAACTGGATCTGGATCCCCAAGAACAGCATGGAGTTCCCTGTGTATCCATGGTTCTATTCTTTCTAGTAATCTTTCCTTGTTACTATTTCTTCCCATAAAACCCTAAAAAGGTTAAAAATGTTAAGCATTGGTTTGATCAAGTGAAGGTTAAATGTGATGAATGTTTCATAAGATGTATACCTGCTCAAGCGACCTTCTTGTAGGACAAGGAACAGCACGCAAGTTGTGTTCATAAATGCTGCAAGTACAAAATCATAAAAAAAACATTAGAACAATTACTAGGGAGGAAGCTATGAACACATAATCACTAAAGAATGTTTCCAAACATCCTCGTTCAATGAAAAATTATAGAGAAATAAGATCATTAAAACTCTAATCTCAACCAAAGGTCTTCGTATAATAAATTGTTACAATCACATAGACTAATCTCCAAAGCAGCCACCCAATTAGACTCACACTCCTTAAAGATTTAACTCACACTTTTCTACACAATTTCTTTTTTGAGTCGCTTTGTAATCAAAGCATCGGCTTTCATTTACTATACCTTACACGCCACTGCAGAATTCTCTGTTTGGTAACACCAGGAGGCAACATTTTAGATTGCCCAAATGACCTCTGCCTTGGTAATGGCCTTGTTCTTTTGTTAACAACATTTAATTCCTCTCTTGAAATCCCAACAGCCCTGAAATCAAAATTGAAGGTAAAAATGAAATCAGTTGAGTACTAATATATACAATACCAAATCCTATTTACTTTATATATTCGTAAAAGAAGTGATGAAAAAGGTTCACCTTCGTTGACCCATGAAATCTCTTTGCCTGACATTTGAATGTCCAATACTATTGTTGAATTTTGTATCCCTAAGAGATGATAAATGTTTGGTACGGAATGTTCTAGTATTAAGATCGATTCCGACGAACAGCGAATCGAATTCAGCATTACAAAGCGGACACTTCCTTTTCAGATTACTCCATTTACGAATGCAATCGTAGCAGTAGGCGTGAAAACACACAGTAATTACAGCTGCTTCTTCGATTAGGCTCAAACAAATTGGGCATGATTTGCCAGTAATGGCTGGCCTTAAGTGTTTTCGTAGAAAGCGTTCTTGATTGAGATTAGAATATGGTGATTGTTTGCAGCGGCTAGATGAAGACGATGACGACGACGACGACGACTCCATGTTCCTGTATCTAACGAATGTTGCGATGTGACTCGCCGCCTTGAATGGCGGCTTATTTATGGTCACCGGCCACGAAACCCATCAGAAGCTGCAAAGTTTTTACTTATTAGACTAGATTACAGAAATTAGGCTGTCCATGGGTCGGTTTGGGTCGGTTTTGGACCCCAATCCAACCCAACCCGTAAATGATCGGTTTCTGGTTTTCAAAACCCAATAGGGTCGGTTTCTGGTCGGTTCGGTTTCTCGGTTTCTGATATCGGTTTGGGCGGTTTCTAGGGTTCAACCCATACACTTACGGTTTCTGGGTTTAAACCCATGGGTTTTGGGTTTGAACCCATTTTCCAGAAATGTAACAATTAGTTAAATAATTAAAAAAACACCTAATTGAAGTTAAATACTTCAAAAAACATGAGTTTTACAACCAAATTGTCTATTACAACCAAACACACAATCAAACTAAAACACAAAGTCTGAATTTGTCGATTAGACGATTACAACCAAACACACAATCAAACTAAAACATAAAGTCAAAAAAAAAAAACGAGCACAGATCAGAAAAAAAATGAACACAGATCAGAAAATAAAAAAAACGAACCAGACAGCAACTCACAAGCCAATTTCAGAACATAAACACAAGATTCTATATGAAATCAGACAAATTAGGAAGAACTTAAACAATTAAACATGAATTTAGAAAAAACACGAACCGTATTTGACGATACAGAGGAGTTGCAGGTCTCGTTGATGGCGCCGGAGGTTTGGGGCTCCGTTACAGGTCTCGTCGGAGGCTCGGAGCCTCGGATGTGTGCGATCGGCTGAGCGCCTGCCGCCTATCGCCTGAGGACCTTCACTCTTCACTTCAGTGGGAGATGCGCTGATGCGGGAATGCGAGACGAGTAGCGGAGTAGGGCAAAACGAAAATGGGATAAGTAAATGACGAAGGCTTCTTTTATTTATCTTTATTTTTTAATATATATATATATATATATATATATATATATATATATATATATGTATATATATATATATATAAAATAAAATAATCAGTAAAAATGAACGGGTTTGCGGGTTTTATGGGTCGGTTTCTCGGTTTATAAAGAGGGGTCGGTTTCTCGGGTTGAGTGGGTCGGTTTCTGGGTAAAACCGAAACCGAACCCGAAAACTCGGTTTTTAAAAATTTAAAACCCTAACCGTCGGTTTTGATTCGGTTTCGGTTTTTTCGGTTTCGGTTTCGTCGGTTTTTTTCGGTTTTTCGGTTTCTTGGTTCGGGTTTGCTCACCCCTAACAGAAATGGTCCCTTTGGTTGATAATTCTATAGTTTTAGTTCTATTTTCTTGATTTTGTCAAAAGTAGTCCTTATTGTACGTTTGGATTACATTTTTAGTCAATGTTACCGTTAGACGCCCTTCTGTTAAGTATGATTGTCAGAGAAGTGATTGTAGGAGAGGTCTAAAGATTCCACACTAGGATGAGATTTAAAACCGGAAAATCGGATCGGAATTGGAACCAGAACCGAAACCGTTAGAATCAGAATATGTAAACCATTCCGGGTTTTGGGTTTAAAGAATGACTTTATCCGGGTTTGGGTCGGTCGGGTCCGGGTAAACCGGGTTTAAGAACCGAAACCGATTTTTGTGAAAAAAAATCAAAACATGCATATCTCATTCGTTTGAAGTTGGATTGACATGCAGTTTTTTTCCAACATATAGTTTAGAGTTTGTACATGATTTTAGACTATAATTTTTTCATTTTTAGTTTCATAATTGACTTACAGTCCTCTAAAATCGGGATATCAATGCTGAAAACTTTCAGTTTTTCATTTATTATTATTATTATTATTATTATTATATTATTATTATTATTATTTTGTATTATGTGAATATTTTAAAAATGCATATATAATTTGTTTTTGAAGTCGGATTGACATGCGGTTTCCAACGTGTCGCCTAGAGTTTATACATGATTTTTGCCTATAATTTTGTCATTTTTGATTTAATATTCAATGAGTTACAATTCCCCAAAGTCGTTATATCAAAGCTGAAAAGTTCCAGCTTTTCAAGTATTTGTTTTTGTACTTGTACTTGGTATTTTGTAAAAATTCTAAAACATACATATTCATTTGTTTGAAGTCGGTTTGACATAAGGTTTTTTCCAGTATGTAGTTTAGAGTGTGCACATGATTTTATACTATCATGTTGTCATTTTTGGTTTCATTGACTTATAGTCACCTGAAGTCTGAGATATCAAATTTGGAAAATTTCAAAGTTTAACTCACTAAGACCAGAGGGTGTGGTCACCTTTCATATTTTACTTTTTAAGCGTCACGCCAACATTCCTCTTACTCCCTTTCACTCACCAAAAAGGCAAGAAATTGTCACATTTCACTATCTTTAACTTTTTATTTTTTTAAAAAGGCTATTTTATACAAATATTATACTCGTTTTATAGGAAATTAAAAACCATGAACTTTAATTTAATAAATATTAAAAAACTAAATATTAAAAAACTAAAAATAAAATAAAAAATTTGACCAATCACACTAGGACAAAGAGAGTGAGGGGTAGCCTCCTCTCACCCTTTCCCCGGTATGGTGTTCTGAGGTGTGGTTCCCTTTCCCGCTCCCTACCCACCTGTCTAAGTTACTACTAAAACATTCCGGGTTTTTTGGTTCTAGACCTACTTTACCCGGTTGCACTATACCCACTTTGACGTTTCCGGTTCTAGACCCACTTTACTCGACACCGTACCCAGAACTGAACCGAAACCGATTCCTATATACCGGTCCGGTTTTTGGTTCTACAAAATCCTGTTAACCGATTTTTGGGTCCAGGTCCATCCATTCCGGGTTTGGACCCACTTTAATCCCTACTCTACACACTCATTGTGGATTAAACACTCTTTTTCATAGAAAAACTCTGCAGTTTATTTCATACAATAAAAGAACTACATCATTTTTATCATCGAAAAACCATTTTGTTTGCCAACTTTATCATACCCATTTTCAATATTCTTTGTCCTTCGAAGAACTGAAACCCTAAAGAATTTTGGGGCATACATAATCGTTAATCTCTCCCGAAACTACCTTATTCACCAAAGAAGACACCAACAATGAGGCGTGGCCTCTTCACATGCTTCTTCAAAGCTCTGTTAATATATCCTCTAACAAGTCAACTACAACACAAAACACCATGGCTGATTTGCCTCCTCCCCTGAACCACCATATATGACATGAACACGGTGTCAAGATTCAACAACTCCACTTACTCCTTATGTCTCACCGTCTACTGGCTCGACCCAAACTTATCCTCCCCAGCATGTATGAAAAGTGTTAGGTGTATTTTATGCACCTATTTTACATGTTTATTTCCCCCTTTCATTACATTATACTTCCAATTGCTTACATTTAGTTAATAGTTGGGGCATTTGTATGTTTTATTCAGAATGTCTGATACTTCACTATATTTTGAATTATTTTGTAGGCATTGAGGGTATACGGAGAAAGGAGCTATGAAGGCGAGCATGGAGCATAGAGCATAGAGTTTGGATGAGGGAGCATGGAGAGAAGATGGACCAGATGTGTCATGGAAGAAAACTTGCATACATAACCCAAGTCGTTGCACTTCATCATAGAAAATGACCACGTTTAAAATGCGATCTGTGTTACACCGAAACAGGTTGTGTTTTTCATTTTCATCATATATTTGAGCAACACGACTTAGGTTTAAGATAAAATGAAGGTGAAATAAAGATCAAAGGCCAATTGAAGTTTCAACAAAAGCGCGGTCTGTTGCAAAAACTCATGGCCATGAGTTCTAAAACTCATGAGAATAAGTTCAAAAGGCATGATCTAGTAGAAAAAGAGCACGGTCGATGTCTAGACCATGCTTTTAACCTGAGAGCGGTTACCATTTGTGCTAAAATAGAGGAATTTGGCTCATTATGCACATAGACGATTTGTGGAGCACTTGGGGGCGATTTTGGGCGATTTTTGGGGAATTTTGAAGGCTTATAATCATTGCAAACACTACTAATTTCAATTTGTAAGCATTAAACACTTTCAATATCATCTATTTGTTTGATTTGTTTTTAGTCATGTGTGGCTAAAAAACCCTAGTTTCTAGTTCTTGTTCAAAACATGTTAATTGTTTGACTTGAAGCACATGACTTGATGTTTGATTCATGATTCTATGCTAGTGATTGTGTTCTTGTTTTAACTAGAATCCTTGAATTTGATTTATGTTTGATTGGGCACTTATATAGAATCCTTGTTTTAACTAGAATCCTTATATTGCGTACTTGTGTAGTTAATTAACTTTTAGGACACCTAATCGTTCTATAAAGTTAATGTGAGGAAACAAGCAATATTATTTCTTATTGTAGAACATATACATCACATGTTTTCACACTTCTGAGCGTATAAGAAGAAATGAACATTGTTGGGAAGCTTGTAGAAAACTTAATGTAGTTTCTCAATATTTTGGTCAAAAATCGACTAAGAGGATATTAACCAAATTATAAGAGAGGCTTTGGTGTTGTGAATAATGTGAGTACTGAATTGAGATAAAAATAACATGAGTGGTTTACAAGGATAAAAAATAACCGTTAGACTTGTTAAGAAATAAGAATGACGATTTTCTAGATCCTGATGTATGTTCGGGATCCTGAGACTCTTTAAGATCTGGGATCCTTAGATATCTTTGAGAACCGGGATCCTGGATAGGATTGAGGATCTCGATCCTAATAATTTCCCCAAATTATACCTGCAAAATATTTAAGTTAATTCTGAATTTTTTGAATGTATAATTTTATTTAAACAGAGATAAGATTTTTGAAATTCAAACCCTAACAGATCGGATTTTATCCGTTTGATGCTCATGATGACACAATCAAATCAACTCTCTCCTTCTTTCGTCTCATTTTTCTTGTTTGATGATCATGAGTACAAAGGCACTCCGTTCTTGCTCGAGCATCCTTACTCTTTACGAAGAGGACTTCGTCAATCAAAAGATGTTGTATTACGAAGAGACTTGCTATTTTGATGATAATGACACCGAGTCCTTGAAATCGATCGAAGCTTTTCCTGTTGACATCATTTTCAAGCCTTTTGATGCTAAGGCTAAACCTGGTTTTGTCTTTCCTACATGGATTTGTTTTCCTGAATATCCTTTCTATTGGATTTGGTGTCTAAGCCCATAACTATAACTGGTATGTACTTGACCCGATTGTAGCATGGTCCTTTTAGGTTGCCTTCACCAGTGCAATTTGATAGGATGGATTTTGAGAATAAGGTTATTTATGATTTATTAATATATTACAAGTATAATATATTAATACGAAGTTATTTAATTAGTATTGATCAAGAATTAATTTATTAATTTTGTGATCAAAAGAAGCTAATTAAATATATGAGGATTGATTATGTAAATCAATCATTCTTGTAGTGTGAGCTAATGATCCATGATTATGGGCTAAACTAATCCATGGAGGTTAAACCCATGGAGCATGAGAATGTGGAAAGTCATGGGTTATTTGGGTTTACCAAGCGTAACCCTAGCATGTCCAACACTATAAATAGAACCAATGTTGTAAAACTCCCCGAGTTAGCCGATTACTCCTCCGAGTATTCGCTACTCGGCCCCTTACCGAGGCGAGTTACAGAATCCCGAGTACTTCCCGATCGACCCTTATAGACTTGAGCAGTGTTGTAAAACTCGGTCAACTCAATAATTAATATGTATAATATACTTAATGATTTATTATTTAACACACACTCATGTGATTATTACTACATATATATCTTAAATTTTCAGTAATTATTCACGAAGTGAGACCATTATGTGTTTTTCAGTTTTTGTGTATTCACATGTATCTAATTTTGTTATATATTTCAAAAAACTTATGATTTTGACATATATAATTTCCCTAAAAATATTTCTACATGAATTTCAAAATCCGAGTACTCCCCGAGTACTCGCTACTCGATAGTCGGCCGAGCAGGTACCGAGTAACGAGTTCTACAACCTTGAATAGAACCCTCCATAACAAAAAATGGTTGCACCTTCTCATTGAGATAAGTAGCTTATTCTCTTAGATCATCCTCTTGCATATTGGTGTTTGTGAACCATTAGAGGCATCACACTTGAGGTGCTCAAGCTTTCAAGGGTCAAGAACTACAAGTCCTTCAAAAGGTATGTCATCCATTTAGATGTTTTTATTCATTTGGCAATTTGTATGCTAGTTAGGACAATGCTTTGGAAAAATTGAAAATATGCATGTGTAATAGAGAAAACATAGATCCAAAGCATTTAGGGTTGCATATGCACCATAGGAGTGTTATAGTGCTCAAAACCCAACAGTGGTATCAGAGCCTAGGATTGTTTTCTATTATATTTGATGCTTACTAGTTTTTCAAAGCTGGAAAAGTCGAAATTTTGGCCCCTGACTGGTGAACTCGCCGAGTACATGAACAGACTCGACGAGTCCACTCAGTAACAGAGCAACTCGCCGAGTCCAGTTCATGTACTCGACGGGTTGAAGGCTCTATGTGCAGAAGTTCGAGTTTCTTGGCCTGGTTTGGATTTGGAACACTACCACAAACTGTTTTGGATCATTGGCAATGTTTTTTATGATATGGTAGTGCTTGTACTCATCCAACCACAAGATAATTGTCAAAGTTTTAAAATAATTGTTGTTTTTATATGATAAACAAAGTTGCTTTCAAATTGTTGACTAGAAATTATCTTGATTATGAGTTTAGTTAGATCATAGATTATGTGATAAGTTTAGATGTTAGAAAAAATGATCTAAATGAATTTTAATGACCTCCATAACTTGTCCTCAAGTTATGGAAAATGAAAGGTCTCATACATTAAAATCGAATTAAACTCATAAGTTATGAATGTGAAGAGTTTTGACAAGTTTCAAAACTTGCCCTCAAGTTTTGGAATTTGTAAAGTCACACTAATGGAACTTTAATTCTAAACCCTAGAGTTTTAAAAGTTAAAATTCAACCCTTATACTTTATAATATTATAAGTTTAATAATATATATATATATATATATATATATATATATATATATATATATATATATATATATATATATATAAGATAAAGTCGGTCTTACCGTTAGTAGGCTTCATTCACGAAGCCGATCTATAAGGGAGGTATAAGGTTACTGCCTATAAAATGGTAGTTTAATGAGTGTCCACTCTCACCAACGCAATCCCTTCAGGCTCTTTCTCCCTCATGAACCTGTGTGGGAGTGTCATTTTCGATAGCTTGAACTTCAATGACTGGATTCGAAACATCAGGATGACTATTCGTTATGAGGACAAAGAATACGTCCTAGATAAAGAGCTCAAAGAGATTGATGTCACCATTGGTACTCCTGAACAAATCGCTGAACACACTACTCATGAGAGGGATGCGATAAAGGTGTCGTTTCTTATGAATGCAACCATGACCGTAGAGCTCCAGAATTCCTATAAGGATACTATCGTTATGGAATGTATCATGATTTGATGGAAAGATACCATCAAAGTGCTCGGCAGGAGAGGTATGAGATCATTGACTCCATGATCACAACCAAAATGAAAGATGGTGAACCCATCACGACCCACTTGCAGAAGATGCAGAGATTCGTGGACCGCTTGCTTAAATTGAATGTAAATTTTGATGAAGAGTTGGCCATAGGTATAATTCTACACTCTTTACCTTCTTGTTATGATCAGTTTCGTATGACCTATCATATGAACAAGGAGGAGGTAACTCTTAGCAAGCTTTAAGGCCTTTTAAGGACTGCAGAAAGCAACCCGAAAGGCAAAACGGTTGTGTCTACTCCTACTACTACTTCTGCCCCTGTTCTGGCAATCAGACATGGGAAGGGAAAGAAGAGGAAGGCTCCCTCCAAGATCCGCAAGGGAAAGTCTCTTGATGGATCCTCTTCTAGTGGGACCAAAGCTGGTTCTGCTAATCGCTCCTTAAATCCGAAGGATGCAGAGTGCTTACTGGAAACGAAGCTACCCCAAGTACTTGCAGGACATAAATGATGGCAAG